TATACTCATCCAAACCCATGCAAAGTTCCTACCTCATCCAGGGATGCTGAAGCCTGGCTTGATTAGACCCTGACATGAGCCGTGATGGTTCGTGCTCGGTTTAATGTTTTAGGGTTTATAGGGTACCAGTGGCTCCGACAAGAGGTTACAAACCACCAGATGCCCTATGTCCCCTACACCCTAAGTCCGAAATCCTTGACCTACCTGTCCAGTTCCTTTCGCCCTTGGTGCGAGCAGTGGCTACAACACGAAAGTGTTCAAGGTCTATTGCTGGACTCCCAGATCAGCGCTAGAATCCCGTTCCCCGCAGCTGCGCAGCTCCTCTGCGAACTCAACAGCTTCGCGTCCCAGACCTTGTGAGAAGATGGCGGATATGACAGCTGAGGGTGGCGGATTTTGTGGGGATCCAGTTAGGGTTAGAGACGTTAAAGGACCCCAAAATTCCATTCTTTTTGATCCTTTGAAGATATGTCCTCCCGACGACCGCTCATGAACTGAGCCAAAGCTCAAGCACAACTTTGGCACGCAAGCTTCGCAAACGTATTGGACTACGTAGGACAATCCCCATGTTTATGCAAGCCTCTCAACGAGCATAACTGTCAAATAGCCTCAGCCGCAAAGGCGGTAACGTGGCTTACAGCAATCCTTGAGTCCTCAAATGGCACTGCCTTACACAAGACGCCACTTGCACCGGGGATTCCATGAATGTCCATAGCTACAACAACTCCTGGACTGGAAGCTCTCAAACTGAGGGCCCAGCTCCGTGTCAAGTACAGTCTTGACATGCAGTAGCAGATCAAGGCCTGTCCAACCACAACAGTTTCATGTAGGTCATAGCATGTCACGAACTCTGCAATTCAAACTTGTTGCTTCATGTAACTGTCAGGAAGAGCGAACCCGAATGCGTTTGAGGAATTGCATGGTGTAGCGAAGCGGAGTCAAGGTGTGTAGCGATCTCAAAGGACGGAAAATATGAGAGAGAATCGGTTCTCAACTGATGTTCCTCCGATACAAGGCAAACTCACCTCAAAACACGGCCATGTGTGGCTCAAGTTTGGGTTTGCGTAAACTTGCGTGTCTACAGCCTTCCACAGAAGCTAAGCCATGCATGCCCATCCCAATCAGGACACAACACGCATACCCAAAATCGGCAACCCTGAATCCCTGACCGCAAACCTCTCTTGCGAGTCCTCTCCCTGAAGGCAGTGGAGCACTGGCACGCGTTCAAAGATCCCTGAGCTGCTCTACGCTGAAACGTAGAGTTTAGCAGGCCGTGCACAAGAAACAAAGCAGCGCATCCGATGAAGCGAAAAAAATCCTGCAAAGAAATCCGTGAATTTCGCTTTTCTGTACGCACCACGTGTCTGCACTTCACCCGGGTCGAAACACAAGTCTGTCGATCGCTATTGCGCTCATACTCACCCTCGCCACCCCAACGCACAGGAAAACAATTTCTTTCAAAAGGGGCAACGTGTGAGCAGGTCCCACGCTTCCCTTTGCAGCCCTGAAACCATTAGCCACTGTAAATCGACCAGCAAGCGCCCTACGCCCTACACTCTAAGCCCTGACCCCAATCTGCCTAGTAGAATTCCCATCATCTTTGTCGTGTTCCCCATCAGCTGTACCATAATACAGTACTGCTGACAACCGCTATTGCCCTCTGGTAGTCATAGCCATGGTCACCCCTAGCCCTAAAGCTGTGAGCCCCCCAGGTTGCCTCGATCTTCTTCGCCCCCATTCGCCTTGCTGTGGATCCAGCTTCCCCACAGAGCTCGATACCCTCCTCCAGAGTTTGGAGAGGGGGTCCGTTTGGACCCGCTGTTGGGTCTTTCACTTGCAGTGTAGAGTTTGGAGGAAACGGACGAAAGGCTAAAGTGGGGTTTCGGCTGAGTCCTTGAGTCGCTGGCCTTTGGATCGAGAGGATTCCAGGCAACAAGATAGAATTTCAGCTGAATCTATGCTTTGCCTCATGGGTTTAATTTTGCCATGAAACTCTTGGGACAAATGCTGCCTCTCCGGGGATCCAAGCATGAGTAAATCCAGGTCCGTGCGGCAGAGGCTGTAACCTTGGGCTCTAACCCAAAGTCCTGCACAGCAGCCTACTACTTGGAACCCCTGCTGGCTCACACCCTACAGCCCTGACCGTGATGCCCTTCCAAAGCTCAGGGGAGGAAATGCTGAGAATCTGAACGCCTGCTACAACACTACCATACACAGCCTAAACAACAATCCAGGTCAAAACGCAATTGAGTAAGCAGTGTAAGCTTAGGAAAAAATTTGGTGCTGACGCTTTCAGCCTCGAACTTGCCCTTGGTCGCCAACGCCCAACCTTGGATGGCAAAAGACTCTGGACGCTGCTGTGCGTTTTGAAGTCAGGATCAGGAGTTCGGGATGGGGCTCCCAAAGCTATCATGAACAACGAGACGCATACCCTACATTCCGAGCCTCTGCCCGCGTTCTAATGACATACGGGATCCCATATCGAGCGGCCAGCAGCACGCTCAAGCTAGCAAATTTTTTCGCACCAACACACCCTGACCTGAATCTGCGGCTGCTCAGTCCTTGTCCGTGGAGCCTACACCCAGAACCTGAATCCCCCAACTCCTATCCCTCAGCCCTCAAGCTTGAATCCATGCAAGGAACCACGGCACTCACATTAGCTATGTACTCTTGTGCTAGCCCCGATCTGGCCCTCCGACCCTTAGGCACCTTGTCAACACCAACTACCCCCTTCAAAGATTCTCATCGTCCCTGTTCCCTACTTACTTGTTGTGAGCAGGGTCCGGATGAATGGATCGCTATAGCAGCACATAAAGACTCCCAAGTAATATGACGGGTTCTATGTTGTTTTCCATTCCTTCATATCCTAATAACAGCCAGAAAAAAGCCCCAACCTCAATTCCCCGCTGCAAATACCTACATCAACCATTTTCCGTTCCGCTTCTGTCTGTTTCTCCATTATCGGTAACTTCTTCGGCCCCTACACCCTATACATGATCATATGCCCTATATACCCCCAGTAACTATCCCCTTCTACCCCCAGTAACACTTTAAAAGGGACCCCTAAACCCTAAACCCCAAAACCCTTAACCTAAAACCCCAAACCCCCAAACCCCAAACCCCAACACAACCATTGTGGGATGTTTTGGGGGGCAGCCTGAGGTCTGCGCCTAGGAAATGGTTTGCTTTGGCAGTGCCCAACTGGTCGCCTCTTAGGTTCCGAGGGTTTAAGGCTTTGAGTGTTAAGGACTTAGGTAGTACTATAAATAACTTAATGCAAATTATCGTAGTAAGTGTTAATGTTGCAATATCTTGGTGAGGTCGAGTGAGTTATGATGTATTGGCCCGACCCAGCGAATCATGGGTAAAAGGGCTCCTGGTGCTCAGGATTTAGAGGCTCAGAAATTTGGGAGAATTGGGGTGGCCCTTGGTTGCAGGCAGGCAGGGATGCTGATTGCAACCGTGAACCATACACCGTTAACCCTCTAAACCCTACCCCTACATATCCCCTGGAGACTGTAAAGAAACCGGTCTCAGGGTACCATGGCACCTCTAAGGACCTCAGGGATGTATGGAGACTAAAATGAGATTCTGGGCTACTATGAGGGGTCCTTTTAATGACGTTGGGGTTGCTTGGAAAACTTCGATTGCAACTACATCCCTACAGTGACGCAGAGCCTCGTACTCAGGCGAAGAGAGAAGAAACTGACTCTGGCAATTCTACCTTTAGCAACACCCTAGTTCTCCCCGTCCTGCAGGTACATGCAGCTTCAGCTTTGGGGCTCTGCGGCGCTGTGGGGGAGGGAGGGGCGGGGGTAATGGATTGTAGCAGAGATGTCTGCCTCAATTCGTTCAAACCAACAAAAGCGTAACCAATGCATTCCAACTATTCATTTCCGTAGTGTCTAGTGACAGACTTGTAAGTAGAAGGAGCCGTCAAACCAGAAGGCCACAGCTACCAGGACCTTCAAAGGCAGGCATTTGCGGGGCCTGCTTGTTTGAATAGCCCGCACGCTGCTTCTGCGTGCTCCTGAGCCTGCAGGCGACAAGGTGAAGATCGGGAAATTCAGGGCTTAGGTTCCTAGGCCAATCTGTAACAGTCAGTATCTTCGGAAGCATAGCACATATGCAAAGGCTTTTTGAACAATCAGATTAGACTCGCTGTTCAGCATCCAGGTGTAAGGGTGCACACCAAATGCCCTAAAGCTTTGCCTACAGTCTGTGGCTTGCAGTGCAGGGCCTAGCGCTAAGGCTTTGTCTTACCTGGAGCTTCATGGATTGTAACCATGGGTTATGCACACCCATAAACCAAGAGATTACATTCTGGCTTAATCCACCGTTTACTTGCTTCCGTTTCAACCAGAATGGTAGAGTGGATCAGTACAGTATTGCCTCTCTTGTCCCCTTCATTCCCCGAAAACCGTCAAGCATCAGCCCAAGTAATTACTGTGTGAAGGTGGTTTGATTCCGGCTGCGCCACGAGGACCTTCTTAAAATCCGCTCAGCCCCGTAGAAGCTCTGGACGCCAACAGCCTGAATGTGGCCAAACGCTGCTGGTATGTCTACTGCTACAAACAATGCTTCGGCAGATTCTGCGTCATCATACCCAACTTTCCAGAAGTGCTACAACGCCACTCTGCTGCTGCAATGCATAAAACTCTGCCCCTGTCTACCTCCTCTCCTCGTTAGTGCTATTTTACTCCCTGCGAATACATCTCGTCCGCGGATGGCTGTCAGCCAGAAACTCTACCTTTGCAGCGGTGCCTGGAGCTAAACACCCAACAAAAAGGGGTGTAAAGGTTGAGGCTCCTCTTTGGGCACCTGTATCCTGAAGCCGCAGGATTGCTGGGAAGGGCCCCAAGCTTCCCTACAGCTGAGCGGCCGCGAAACCAGGCCACACAAACATCACTACCATCCGTATCCATCATCCATACGATGCCTGAGTGCTTTTCAAACAGGCAGAGAAGTCCCGGATTTAGCAAAATCCAGGTTTTTTCCTGCTACAGCTTGCTGCCGCGCACTCGCGTCTTCTGGGCTTCCATGAAGCCAGCTGCACCCTGCTGGGCGAACCGAAGACTGTCGAGGCCATGAGTATACTCCTCAGTGGGCACTTGGAGGTCCGCCCTCCAATATAGTCATACTTCGGCCGGTCATTGTAGGCTTGGTCATGGTAGGCCGTAGGACGTAGGGTGCAATGGGAACTATGAAGAACTGTCGTAGGTGTACTTCTGACTTCTCGCATCGCTTGTCTGGTAAGGCTTTTTCTAGTGAATCGGAACATGTGAGGCATACATCAAATATGAGTGTCTTATGGGTATACATTTTGTATACTTGTCCAGGGCGTAGCTTCGATGGGTGTGTTCAGGGTTTTGTGTGCGTGTGTGTATATGCTCTAGGACGCTCAGCTTTAGATGCTACGACCTGCTGCAACTTGCAAATCAACTTCACAAAGTAATTCTTATAGGACTTTGTGCAGCCAAGGCTCACGCTGGAGGGCGTCAAGTAACGAGAGGTCCCACTGCTCATAGCTAGACATCCGGTCGTTCCGCATGCAGGTCCTCTAAGTACCACATGCAGGAGGTAGGCAGAAACTACGGTCCGAAGGTACGTACTAACCTAATATAGACCAACCGCAAACAGGACACCCAAAACAAAAGCCCAACAACTATCCTAAACCTTCAACTCTAAGCCCCCCGCGCAAACCAACAGAACAACAAAATGCTACCCAAGAGCAAGAAGGGTCTGAGGCATGGAGCCAATCTGCTTTGCCAACTCAAGCGCTTCAGACAGAGCTGTACCTTCAGAAAAGTAGGACGCTTAAGGGGCTATGAGGTTAGGGGTTAGGGCGTGAAGGGCTTTAGGGATCAGAGTTCTTGACCAACTGTACACTTCCTTCGAGCCCCTGCGCAATCATGCATGAGCGGAAACGCCCGGGAAAGCCCGCTCCCCCATTTCATAATACTTCTCTGCGACTGCATAACTCTGAAACCTCTCACACGAAAGCGAAGAAAGAGGGATCTTGATTTGCCATCTAGTTTTTCACCTTTACCCAAACCAAAAACGATTGAGTTGAAAGCTGCGGCTCTAATGGCTTCAGCCCCCTAGAGGAACCAAGAGCAAAACCTGGCAAAGAGGTCTTCTACTCAAAATCCCAACTATAGGAAGCTTAAGATTGCGGAAGACCTAGCACCTTCCAGAGCCCCGGCAAATGCACCCGAAGCGCCTTTGCGAACCACTCGGTTGGCAAGACCCATCTCAAGTGCTTCTCTGGCATTGACCTCCCGACCGGTGAGGATGAGGTCCAACGCGCGGGAGTGGCCAATCAGACGCGGAAGCCGCACGGTGCCACCATCCTTGTATATCACACTCACGTAGCTACTTCTGAGTTGTAGGGCTTTTTTGAACTTGGGGTTTGTGTGGGAAACCCATCAAACTTAGCCTATGTCCTTAAGCTCAAAGGCCCAGCATCAATCAGAGGCACCCCCCAGCGACGGCAGAAGATTCCCATCTTCGCATCTTCCTCCAACACCCGCAAGTCGCACCTCTAGGCGTTCTTCTGTGAAAGCATCCAACAGATCTACCTCTGGCATGGCTGCTACAGGCCCTGGACCCTGTAAGACATGGGGACCTCCCTCGCAGTCTCTTGCTACCCCAGGTCATTCCGACTATCACCCCTCAACCTGTCAAGCTCCCGCCCCAGAGCACCAGCAAGCAAGCTCGAATCCACCGGCCACGGCATACCTTGGAATCACATTCGCAAAGCTCATCTGAAAACTGGCGGTAGCCCTGAAACCTAGAACCCAACGGCACCAGGCCTCGACACATGCCGCAAAATCTCATTATCAGATATGAGAAAAGCTACCCCGCGATAGCAGCGATGACCGGCTTCTTCAGTAACATCCTCAGGGATGCTGTGCATGCTGCGAGACTAGGTCAACCTACCCTAGTAACGTAACATGCAAGGGAACAAACATCCTTTTGCAAATGGACTGCGCAGGGCACCACTTTTCAGGCTCTCTGTCTGATCAGAGGAATGTAGAGGCGCCAGAGTTTCAGGTCTTGAGTTACCACCTGGCAGGGTCCAATGCCTCAAGCCCTCAACATTCAAAGGAACGTATCAAATCACGCAAGCGTAGTCCCAAAGGAGGCAATCGCCCTGATATGCTCCTACGAGTACATGATGACCCCAACACTTCAAACGACAGATTGCCCCCGAGCCTTTAAAAGCCAGGGCCTTCACACAAAACACTGTTGCTATATGTCCTATAGTCCGCTTACAAAGAAAACTGAGAACGCCCTGCTGAAACGCATGTTTTTGCGGACCCCTTCACTCTGAGCAGCCTTGTAGGCCCCATTGGAGCATCTCCTGGCCACACCATCCTTACAAGTTAGCTGGTATTTTCTTGGTTGCGGGTAAGGAGTCTAAGTCAAGTTACGATGGTATTGTCGAATGACAAATATGTTTTCTTTATAAGGGTAGCTTGAACCAATTGACAGCAGCCTAGTTTTTGACGTTGCTTAGGGTGGTTTCTTTTCAAAAGCTCTGGTGCTGGGTGTGGCAAAAAACTTGCATGAAGTGTAAAGCTGCATGTCTTCTGCAATCTCTATCATGGGCCCACATCTTTGCAAACACAACGGATGTCTCGACGTCCTCACATCCTTGCTCTCTAATAGCGAGCCATGTGTGCCATAGCCTAAACTGCTAGCATCCCCCTTGATATCCCCTTTTATACTCCCCCACAAAATGCCTATCGTGGTCCCCTAGAAAAATCCTCTAAAAAAGGAGTTCAGGCTACTCGTCCCAAACGCTTGCTGTGTGCTGTGTGCAATTGTAGGCACGGCCACTGACAAGAGATCTTCAGCAAATGGCTTTGATCCAGCCCCCCAAGCATAGCAACAATACTACTCTTGCTACCTCTACGGGCCCCACGAAAAATTTCCCTAAAGTCTATCCATCATTGCCCCAGCCTTCAACCCAATCCAAAGCTGGTTCATCTTCTTCGGATCCCCAGAAGAAATGGCCTCAGGAACGGGGCGCTTCAGCCACATTGGTTGTGGAGAACTTTAGCACCCGAAGCCTTGAAGGCTCCCCAGAACCTGCACGTTTCAAGGGAATAACGAAGCATTATGGGGTTTACTCTCACATTCTGGGCAGATAATATTGCTTCACAACAATCTTGGGACTGTAGTCCCAGAAGCAACGACAGTTCACGGTGACCTCGTTTGAGCTCACTACAATTTGCCCGGCCGAAGTTTTTTCAATGCCCAAAACTCCAACTGACTGATGGATGTCATGAACTTACATGGGCGTGTCATGTGTGAGCGCATTGTCATGGTCATGGTCATAGCTGGAGTTGATGGGTTCTCGCAATTTCAAAGAAGTCCCTCGGAAATGCAAAATGCCCTCTTGTTGCACAACAACCTAAAATATTTGAAGGTCATGTTCATGTAGTACTGCTCGTGATGTTTTTTTGCCACTTCGTCTACGGATGATGATGGTTGCACGTCTACCTGGGAATTCCAGCTGCATGCCAAATTCTTCCAAATTCAAGGTACCTTACTTGAAGATCATGGAAATGGAGGAACGATTTCCTACCATGGCCACCCTATGTAATCCCCATAGCATTCCCATACCCATTCTCAACTTCCCTACTAAACGCCAGTAAGGCAGTCTGTACAGCGGCCTTCAGATCGGCGCCGGCGCAAAAGTCCTTAGCTACTAGGAAGTCCATGGTAATCCAAGCCTTCGTGTATACTCTAGTTGTTACCATATTGATGCATTGAAATGGCATACAAGTGAGTTGTAGGTACAGCTATGAGTAGGCCAAAGATACCCATGGACCCATTTACCTCCAGGTACCTTGAAAGAGCTTCTGATACTTCATTGGCCCAGCTGATCCTAGAGGTGTAGCTAAGTGAGTTCAGATTTTCTGGGCCCATAAGCTTTGGGCTTGTGGGTTGCCAAGTTGAGCCTTTAAGGTGCAGGCGCATCACAAAGTCAATCTTAAAAAATTGAAGCGGGGGGAATGAATTCTGGAAATGAACACGGGGACTGCACTAGCAGCGATCCGTTCCCCATTCAGACAAGGAGCACCCTGAAAGCTTCACTCCATCTGTCTATGCCCATCACATGCCCGAAAAACGCTACAAATCCAATTGGTGCCTCTACTTGGCCTAGACTTGGGACAGTAGTGGTGCACGCAATGAGGCGGTGGTACAGACCTTAGATCATTGGAACACTTCCTACACACCCTCAAGGAAACCATGCTCTCCTTCTGGACACGCACTCACTCGCATTAGAGACTGTTAGACCTTATTGGGAGATGTCTAAAGGGGCTGAAACGTTTTCATGCTTCTGGTGGAATTTTGGGAATGGAGGGCTGGATCCGTAAAGTAGTCACTACAGAATGCCTTATGATGACCGTAAAGCCCATTCTTCTTCTCACACCTTCATTCGGTACAAACCAGGCAACCATCAACAGACCAGACTCCTCTCCATCTCCGCACAGGATAGCCACTCGCTGTGTGTCGTCACTTTCAAAGTCCTGAAAGGCTGCCACGAGATGGCGCGCGGTGGCTCCATCCACGCAATTCTTGACCTGTTTTAGGTTTTTGAAGCCTTAAAGAAGGTATGTGGTTGCAGAGTAGAAGTAGGACTTATGAGGTTTGGGGTCTTACGTGAGGAATCCTGGCAATGTTGAAGAATCGTGGCCAGGTATGGGTAAGGTCAAAAGCCAGCCCCCCAAGATAAGTTTGAAAAAGCCCTCTTGTTCAGTGATGTATCCATTGGTACCCTTGATTACCTGGGATCTTCTTTCGTCACCCAGCACTGGCAAAATACGATCCTTCCCTTGAACTCCCATTAAGCCCAAATGATGTCTAAAACCCAAACTCTAGATCTTCAACTCAAAGCCCGAAGCCTAAGCCGCAAACCTCATAAAGCCTTAAAAACCCTAAGCCTCAAAACCCTTAACCCCTAAACCCTAACAACCTAACAAAAACCCGAAACCCTGGAACCCCAAGAGCCCCAAGAGCTCCAAGCCCTCAAAACCGCAAACCCTAACAACCCTGAATACCCAAAACCCTAAAAACGCTAACCGCCAAGCGAGCACATCCTAAGAAACCCAACGACTCTGACCACCTTAAACTCTGCCTAAACAACCAAACCCTGAAAGCACTAAACCCTAAGAACAAAAATCCCCAAACTCTAAAAACCCTAAAGCACTAACAACCTCAAAGCCCTTCAACCCTAACAAGCCAAAAAAACCCTAAACCCTAGAACCCCAAGAGCCCCAAGCACCCGAAAACCTAAAGACTTTAAGCCGTAACAATCCTGAACAGCCAAAACCTCAACAACGCTAAGCCGTGAAACCCTCCACCCCCTCCCCCCAAAAAACAAAACCCTAAGAACCCTAAGTAAGAACCTCAGTAACACCAAATCCTAGAAACACTAAACCCTAAAATCCCAAATAACCACTAAACACTCACAACCTTAAAACCCCTAAACCCGAAAAGCCCTAAAAACCGCGAAAGGCAAAACAGACTTTGCCTAGGCCGTTTCCATTCTCTTTTCCATTCCCTCATTCCCAGCTAACCAAAGGTCATCAGACATCCCCGACCTCGCGGCGCCAGATCCGGATGATAGTGACAAAGTCTTCTCTGCTGACCGAGACCAAGGCGGCCATGCTGGGCCAAATCTCCCGCAATAATCTAAGGGTCTGGAAGTGCTCCATACGGGTATATGGTGTGTAGGGATTCAAATCTAGCGTATGGGGATATGAAGCCCAATCTAACTAGTGAGCGAATGATCAATAATCAGTGTGGTGGTAGCAATCAAAATACATAAATCAAGGCAAACAGGATGACAACATATTGCCATCTTCATAGTGGAAACCATCGTAAAGTGTTAAGTCAGTGGAGATGATTTGGATTGCCACGCCATAGAGCTGAAGCTACTTCCGCTGTCTTGCCTGTCTTGAGCCATGGCGAACGAGTGGTCACCACCAGAATGTGGTTTCCTTCCAGCTTCATAAGCATGCTATATTTACTCAGGTTGAGGGCGTATAGCGAAGAACTTTTCCCACCTGAGCCCATATTGTCTGGAAGACCGAGAGGTAAGCAGAAATCTGCGAGCCATGCCGCACCACTCACAAACCCAAGCGCTAGACCTCTGATTGCCCTAATGAAACGATTGCAAAGTCCAATCTAAACCCTGAACCTCAAACCGTAATTCATCTGTGCAGGAATGTGGTTGCTGTCTTGGATCCTCCATATTACGGTGACTTGGACAGCACATGGCTTGGCCGCCTGACCCCCAAAGCTTCCAACCTTCCATTCTTAGGCCTTCTATTCGATACAATCGATCTGCAGGCCAGCCCAGAACCCTTCAAGGATCCAGTAACTGGGACCAAACAAATCAACAGGCTTCTTCTACTAGCTGACATCCTGGACTACATCTTTGGGGAAATCAAGCTTGGGAACTCTCAATGTGTACAGGAGCCCGAAACTACGAAACCCTGAAAGCAGAGACGACTGAACCTTCTATGTCGTTCAGATCCCTGAAAGCTTGAACACCTTGAGCCCTGAATCTTAAGCCCTAAACCCTAAACCTAAACCCTAAAACCACAGACTATGTCACCCCCCTAACCTCGGTCGCGTTGTGGGTTGCGGCTGCAAGGCCCGCAAGCAACAATCGGGACGCGGCCTGCAGCAGAGGCAGGGTGGGGCGCAGGGCTCTTGAAGGTTTTGCCGTTTAGATGTTGGGGTGGGTGTCTTTTGGGCATTTGGGATTCTATGAGGCTTAGGGCCTAGGATTTGAGGTTAAGGGTTTAGGGGTCAGAGGACGACATGAACCCAGAGGATTAGGGGTTCCAGGATTGTACCCCTAAGGTCGTACCCCTACAAGGTTTCCCCAATATGGCTGTAAAATAGCCTTCATATGAACCAATGAAGTCCCCTAGGGTCCCCTAAAAGGGTCACAAAACCCAGGGGTACAATTCTAGGGGTACAAGCCTGAAACCTTTGAGAAGAAGCTCCATCAGAAATACAGCATAGAAGAGCTAGAGCCTTTTGAGGCTCCATGTACTGAAGGCTATGATGGCAGAGATTCTCACAATCATCACTACCCCTTAACTTCTTCCTCCACCCGTTTTCTAGACTTGGGTGTGTCTGGAGTCTGCAGGACCGGAAAAGAAAGAACACGAGCAAAGTGGGCCGAACTGAGTCCAGCATGCAGCAACCAAAAGGAAACAACCCATCATAGCCGTGGTCCCCGAATAGTGGGCAGAGCGACAAACCAAAAAGCCATGCACACCATGAAAGTCACTCTGTGATATTCTGGGGGGATCTTATAGTCCTCACCTTGGTAGGTTCCCATCAC